TCTTTTTTCATGTATTAAATTTTATGTATTTTTATTTCCATCTCTTTTTGCTTTGGATGTATATTATTTTCCATATCTATGACTTGTAAATAGTGGTTATGATTTTGAATAACACTAGCATACACTTATTAATTTTGCACGCAAATTATACCGATTAATTAGCTTGCATCATGAGAATAGGTGTCTTACACCCTTCCTACCTCATATTGTTCCATGGCTAAAATCTAAATTGGACTAGTGTGATTTTTATAGCATGTCGAATTCGTTTTCAATAAGATCATAAACGATTCTGAAAATTATTTAAAATTAAAACATATTTTTTGCAAAGCTATTTTTGAGCATCGCATCACCCAAATTGTGGCAAGTGCCCAATTGACCTATGTTTTTCATAAATTTTGAAGGTGAAAATCTGTTTAAATTCAAATTAATTTCAAATAATTATAAAACCTACCTTTACTCACATGCTTAATTTTTTTATATTTGATTTTGTGTGAAATATGTGTTAATCGTCAAAACCATTTTATCAAACCCAAATATTGATTCTTGAAATTGTTCCTCCTTCCCACTATGTTGGACTGCCTGTTGACTATTATTCTTTATCTCTTTTATATGCATCAAAATTGAACTTGAAACTCTACTAACAACAAACCTAAGGCCGGCTACCATTGGTGACTCCCTTCTTTCTCTCATTCGCTTGCACATTTGCTGCCAAATCTCACTCTACTAAGCAAGAGTCAACTCCCCCTCTATTAAGTCCTGAGTCAATTCAAGAGGTCAAATCTTTAAACTCCATATAAGAGTCTTGTGTATCATTGATCTACTTGATTCATTTTGGTTTGAATCAAAAGTTAAATAATCCAATCTTCAGTTTGAACTATATATGGTACGCTTCAGTTCCAAAAAGTTGAATAACCTAGTTTTTACCTATATGGTACTCGTATATCTCACTTCAAATTTGTCACGCACATGTTTAACACTTGTAGATGTAGAAACAAAGTGATACTTATTTAGGTCTAATGAATAATTAAACATGTTAAATTTTGAGTTTACTTGTTTATTAATTTTGTTTGCATCTATCAATTATTTATGGACTTTTAAAACTTATCACTAATTTTAATTTTAGTAGAATTTGAAGTCTATTTAAAATTACTCATCCAAGCATCTATATCTTGTGACAAGATGTAGTTCCTCGTCGTATCTCTTCCTTAATTATAATTAGTGTCAATTAAAAAACATAGAGGTTTTGGTGATGAAGATATTCAGGAGGGTTACTATTAGGTTGTGATACCTATAAAACAAAATATAAATCCTATCTTTAATAGCACAAATTCGGTGTACCAAGTGACCCAATAACAATATATATATTTGAAAATTCTCATAAAAATAAAATAAACCAAAGAGAGTGCAAAGTAAATAACGTGATTAATTCCAAAATAATACTCCCGCTCCCAACATTTAATTTATTTTTTTTTTAAAAGCACAACTGATAATATGTAAAAGTATCCAAGAGAATTTGGGATGAAAGGCTACTTCACAAAAAAAAAAAAAAAGAAATTAAACATATTATCTGGACAAAAATATTTCTTTTAGAATGAGTAAAAAGTATGTATATATATATATATTTATAGATAAGATGAGAGATATAATTTATCAATTTTATAATAATATTTTTATAAAGAAAAAAAGAAAAAAAAAATGCTCCTTAAATACTTAATATGGTTGAGATTTTTTATTCTTCAAAACATGATTTCCTTTAATACTCGGTTAAAAGTTACTAATAACAATAATATATTTTTAGTCAATATATCATCATTAAATAATTGTAATAGTTTCTTTGTTTTTATTATGGACATATAACAAAAATATCTAATTGCAATAACTTTGAAAGAATAAAATTATTTATAATTTTTAATTTACTCCTAATTTTGTATTATTATATTTTTAGTAATGAGATATGTTAACATAAAAATCAAAATATACAAAAATAATAAAAACAAAGCATGTTTAAATATGTTGAATATAATATTAGAAAAGGGAAGTTTTATGTTTCAAACTTTTTTAAATTTTCATACATTTATATAAAAAAAGTCACAATTTATTTTTTATTTTTTTAAAAATATATTATTATCCTAAGAAGAAAACAAATGGACGAAAATAACGTTAGAAAAATATCTGGATTTCAGAAATTTATCTCCGTCCAATGCCGGTTTGATTTGTAAACCAATCCAATTCCAACCCCTCCGTTACAACGACGTGAAGAATTCCACGTCATCGACGACGTCAGCTACCAAATTTCCTTGAATTACATACGGATCAGAAATTTCTTAAAAAAAGTTAAAAGAAGATCACCAATCAGATGTTTACACGTGCCCTTCGGTGTCTACATCTCCGGAGTTGCATACAAAACAGCAACAATAATAATTCATCCAATCTCGCTCCCAATCCATACTGTTTGTCTCAGTCCTCTGAGTGAGAGAGAGAGAGAGAGAGAGAGACACACACACACACACACCATGACTCGCCGTGCCTTGGTCTGCTCCATCCTGGTGGTGCTATGCTGCGCCGCCGCAGGATCATCCTTCGATGAATCCAACCCCATCAGATTGGTATCGGACCGTCTCCAGGAACTCGACTCCTCCTTCCTCCAAGTCATCGGCCACACTCGCCACGCCCTCTCCTTCGCCCGCTTTGCTCATCGGTAGGTCCCCTCACCCTCCGATCATCATCGGATCATTGTTGTGATTTCATTTCCGGCGAGATTTTGATCACTTACTCTTGCTTCCTCTTTTTCTTTCTAAAATCTGAAGCTACGGCAAGAGGTACGAAACTGTTGAGGAAATAAAGCTCCGGTTCGAGATTTTTAAAGATAACTTGAATTTGATCAGATCCACTAACCAAAAGGGTTTGACTTACAAACTCGCTGTCAATAGTAAGTGTGAAAATGCTTTGAACTTTGTTTTTAATTTTTTTTGCTTGATTGTACGAGCAAACTCATAATAATTATCAAAACCCTGTGCTACACCCAAATGGTACTGTTAAATTTATTCTTTGAGTTTTTTAGAAGTTTGAGTAAATAATACTTATCAGATTTATTAAATACAAGCAAATAATTACATTTGATACTGGATATATAGATGGGAACTCAGAACTAGAATTACCATAACCGAATGCTTACTCGAAGAAATTGACATTTTGTATCTTTCTGTTTTTGTTTAATTTTAAACCGATTTAATTCGTATCGATTTTATCATCTTGTTGTTCTCTTTACTAAATTATTTGAACTACATAAATTCATGAATCGCATTGCAAAAGCAGTAGTTTTATTCCAAACATTAAAGCTTTTATTTGAAGGAATTTCATTTGACTTGATTGACTTAATTTGGCAATGCAGAATTTGCTGATTGGACCTGGCAAGAGTTCCAGAGGCACAGGTTGGGAGCTTCCCAGAACTGCTCTGCCACTACAAACGGCAATCACAAGCTCACTATTGTCGATCTACCTGAGACGGTACTTGCCACTAGTTATACAAACACAGTTGACAGTTTAAGGCTCCCAAAAAAGAAGACAATTTAAGGCTGTAGTAAAACCTTGCACTTATTTTTCTTTGCTTATTTGCTTATTTATTTTGATGGTGTGCTTATAGAAAGACTGGAGGGAGGAAGGTGTAGTCAGCCCAGTCAAAGATCAAGGCAGCTGTGGATCTTGCTGGACTTTCAGGTGAATCTGAGGTTTAAGATCACAAAGTCAACGTGATTTAGTTATATTTGATATCATTATTCTAACCTTTAATCTATGCTACTATGCTTCAGCACAACTGGAGCTCTTGAGGCAGCTTACCATCAAGCATTTGGAAAGGGTATCTCTCTCTCTGAGCAGCAACTTGTGGACTGTGCGGGTGCTTTTAATAACTTCGGCTGCCATGGTGGTTTGCCATCCCAGGCTTTTGAATACATCAAATACAATGGTGGCCTTGATACGGAAGAGGCTTATCCTTACACCGCAGAGGATGGTAAATGTAAATTCTCATCCGAAAATGTTGGTGTCCAAGTCCTTGATTCTGTCAACATTACCCTGGTAAGTTATGATGTATAGATTCCCTCCAAATTTTCTTCATTTACTTTTCTTTTTTATGCTTAGCTATGTTCTAGGCATGGATTATCTCGCATTATTAGGCAATTTTGCGTCGACACTAGTCCGAACCTGATCCATTTTACTATTTCAAAAGTAGAGAGCTTATAATTGGTTCATTCTTAGGTTCAATTTGATTAGCATGCCTATCATCACATCCAGTCAATGATTATTAGGCAATTTTGCATGAACACTAGTCCAAACCTGATCCATTTTACTTTTCCAAAAGTAGAGAGCTTATAATAGGTTCATTCTTGGGTTAAATCTGATTAGCATGCCTATCATCAATTCCAGTCTGATGATTATGCTAGATTTAAGTCTCTTCAAGTGTTCACATCAGTACTTCCTGATAGTGAACTCCTAAATAGAAATTTTATATATTGTTTGGCCTCTAATTTCTAGAGTGATCTTACAGGGCGCTGAAGATGAATTGAAGCATGCAGTAGCGCTGGTAAGGCCAGTGAGCGTGGCATTTGAGGTGGTGCGTAGCTTCCGATTTTACAAGAAGGGAGTTTACAGCAGCACCACATGCGGGAGCACTCCCATGGTAAGCTATTCTAATTTCAAGTATGCAAGTTACCTTACATGTGTAATTTGAGGCACGTCCTCATATTAATGTTTGGTATTTTTACTTTTCTTCTTTTAAAATAATGTTCTCTTGCACTCTATGCGGCAGGATGTGAACCATGCGGTTCTTGCAGTTGGGTATGGAGTAGAAGATGGAGTTCCATATTGGCTCATTAAGAACTCTTGGGGAGGAGACTGGGGAGAAAATGGCTATTTTAAGATGGAAATGGGAAAAAACATGTGCGGTAAGCACCTAATCTAATCCAAACCTTCCATATTGTCTTTCACAAATCAATATGCAAATTACAGTTGCACAATACTCTGGACTTATGTAGTGATTAATCTCATTTAAACTGATTGGTGATAATTTTGCAGGCGTTGCAACCTGTGCATCCTACCCCATTGTTGCCTAGCGCGATTCTGAAAAATTTAGAGTGGTTATATGTATTCTTGAAGTTACTCTGGCATGTATATCGGTTGCCCTTCCCAAAGTCGCATCCTCATAGCACAGTGGGGTATAGCTGGATTTGATGTAGAATACGGAATAAACTTGTACAACTGTCCTGGAAAATATTTTAAGGATATTTAAGCGAAAGACTTGATAAATTTCTTTGTAGAAGGCATTGTGTGAATTGGTGGCAGTTGGCATTATACTATAAATTGATGGCTGATGTTAAACATGGAATCTGCTTATTGATATTCGCAGGACAAAGAATCCTCGAAAAAGAGTTCTGAATAATGTGTTCAAGAAGAGAAACTATCAATAAGGAATCACAAAATTTAAAGAGGCACGCCCGTTTGGTTTTTTGGAAGAGCTAAACTCCTAAATGATTGATTGTATAGGGTTAAATTTATGCTTGAGCAATTAGAAAGTTTCTTGCTCGCAATGCAATGGGTACTTCACTTCCGTAGGATGTTTCTAATATGCATGTTCATGTTTATCATACATGGGTCATGTCTAGATGA